CGTTGTCGGCACGATCACAATATACCTAAACTATTGTTCTTGGAAACCCACGAGCACAAACAGTAGGCCGCATAATACAGAAAATAGCCAAATATTTATATTATTCAGCAAAATTTCAATAATCTGTTTGTACTTGAAGAAATTTTGTAGACTGTGAATCTAGTAGTAGAAACTAAATCATTGGTCTGATTGTTTGTATGTCACTTCTGCGCAACTTGAAATTAGATAGCAACAAGACGTAATTAAAGATATTATAATTATGTTGTTTATGAAAACACTAGGTATATAAATTTATTATGCACTTAAAGTAAATAAGGTATGTAGAAGCATAGAACGAATAGTACAGGCCTATAAGCCTTTATAAATGTCAGAGGGATATTCAAACTGTATATTTCATAAATTATAATAGAATATTCAATGTGATGTATTCATTATATACTTTTCATTAATGTTTATAAAATTTATCAGCCTGTGTTTTCAGCACGTAGCCTAAGACTGGCGAAAACTTTCCCCGTGCAATTAGAGCAGCAGTAGCTTTCAAGATTTTTAACCACAGCATAACTATTACTGTAATTAATAAACTTAGTTTCATATTCATTTCATGCATACATGACATATAAAATATTTTAAAAGTAATTCAGTATAAAAGTATTCTCTATGGCATAATATCATCCAAGATATATATCATTATATTACATAGGCAAAGGAAAACGAGATTTCTTGAAATGGAAAACAAAACTAGTACTTATAATATAATATTTTATAGCATGAATTTTCTCTCTTCCTCCAGATACTATATATATATATAACTCGAATATTTAATATTTTCAAAAAAGATTGCTTAGTGTCATCAAGGACCCACAACCCTTATGGGTTGTGGGTCCTTGATGACCAATGTGGTTATCACATTGGCGCTTATTATTCGTTCAGTGATATAGAAATAAAATGTGTTCTTTTATCTAAAAACTGATTACTACTACTAATCTAAAAATCTTACTAACTAATCTAAAAATATCTAGCTGTAATATATATGCAATTATTAAAAACTTAAAAACTTCTCTGCCACTGACCGTGCTCTTTTAAATGTACTAGTATAAGAATATTGATACTTTCTTACTTATTATTATTACTTCTTATACTTTAGAGAAACAAAGCACAAGGTGTACTTGAGTAAAACAGAAGGAAATCTCTTAAATAAATACAAAACATGCCATGCCCTTGGGGTAATACCACAGATAACATAATATTGGTAATACTAAATTAAATATTTTCGATTAATGGACAGATCCCTCCTACCAGTTCCTGGTGAGATTATGATGCATATTTTTTAGTATTACAAAGTATAAAAAATGATGGTGTAATCTTTCAGGCTCTAATGTAATAATAATATTTAACAAGTAAAGGAAAACTAGCAACATATAACAAAGTTCAGGTAAGGTCAAATTATAGGGATATTATGCAGATATTTATTAGGGTAGGTAAAGCTCTTTATTTACTGCTAGGGTCCAATTGCGTATACATGTGTATGGAACATAATATAATCCAATCGGCTGGCAACTCCGAGGGTATAGATTATGTGACGACCGTATCGAATTTTTATTCGTATTAGAGCACGAAATTTATTCAAATTATATTTCACGGTAGATTGTTTCTTAGGAAATTGTAGGCGGCTCAGGAAAGGTGAAATTTGAATGTATAATATCAACATTGCTTAGGAAAGATTTTCTAAAATATTGTCTGAAGCTGTAAAATTATTAATTAAGTAATTTTACATTGAAATATTCTATTTTTATTACTTAGCCGCTACTGTCTGCAGTTGATGATTAAATAGTATTACGTCTGTGCTAAAGCATGAATGGATGAAGTTAATATCGTGTTAATTAACCCGGTGGTGATTTATACCTAAATTTAACGACCTAAGGTCGACTTCAGTGGATCGCGTGCAAGTCGACCTAATTTTTGCTAGAAATGCTTTCACTACACTGGTTGCGGGTTCGATTCCGCGGTGCTAATACTTGTAATCATGAGTATTATTGTCTGTAATTATAAGAGCCCAGCTTAGCTTGGGACTAGATGGCGCTGTGTGGCTTGACCAGGGCTATTATTATTGTTAAACAAACTAAATGTTAGTTTGTTTAACAATAATAATAGCCCTAGCCCTAGTTATTAGTTATAAGTATCGTTCTTTGTATATACGGAAATGAATACGATTCAATTTAAATGTATGCACACACATACCAGAAACTAGGGAAATTATTAGTTTTGCGGTGCAGTAAATTTCGATCGATGTTCGTCTGTGGTCAGACAAGGGACATAGGAATATTGTCTGTCACAAAATTTATTACGATGTAGACAGGGCTGCCGCGGGATGCGCCCAATATATCCAATATATCAGACGGTAACTGTAAACAGCAATACCACTACTCAAATTTGTTTATGTGAATGAATAATATATAACAGCGGATCTAGTCTGCGATCTAATCTCAAAATCCATTTTAATACAATCCAGTTTTAAACTAATCTTTTGAAACAGTATCAATACTAAACTGAAAAAAGAACTATGTCTGTTCGTTATTTCGTTCACTCCGAGAAATAAAATGAAGACGTTATTCATGAGTTGAGCATTTAATTTGTTATTTTTCTGTTACTGTGATTGAATATTTTCCTTAGTCGATAGTCACAGAAGATATCCACATTTGAATAAAAATATCTTAAAAGGAACCAAAATAGAAAGGTTGCTGAAAGTTTCCCTCTATTAATTTATTTTTGTCTGTTTCTACATATAGTTGTATATATTTATGTTTATGAGCGATATCTATTATTCATGAATTACGTACATATTTGTAATCTATCTTAAGTATAGTACAAGTAATTAACAAAAAGCCCCGAAATCTTGGCGACGTAGAAGGTATACTTTCCTACATTAACATTCTTTTGCTGAATTATTCATGCGCATTTAATTGAATAACATTTAAATTCATTAGTCTGTATTCTTTCTTATCTACACCTAGAGGGCGCCAGTGATTCTTACAGTTTCTTTTATTTATATTCTATACGTATTTTATATATACTTATTTGTTGGTATTCTCTATTTATATTTAGTCGTTTATATATTTTCAGTATTCATCATTGTGAGAATATAATTTAAAAATATACAATTTTAATTTTTGATAGCATGACTAATTAAAATGTTGGCGCTACTTGTCAGCGTGAAGGCTTTAAATATTTTACTTGTATATTCAGACCTATTCATTTATTATATGAATATCTTCACCTAATTTCTCTGAAGTAGTCAATTTCATAGTCAATAGGATTCTTTATAAATCTTAACAGCAATATGTGTCCTCATTAGCCCAGATTGTGCAGAGATGTCTCCTTTCCTTTCCCGTTATTAAAAAACATTCTTATGACATATACCTGCTGCTTATAAGCGGCTTTGTTTGTAATATACTTCATTTTATTGAATAGATGAAAAGAGTACACCTTTAAAAGAATAAGTTTAATATATAATGTTAAAATCGATAAAATTAATGAAAACATTGTAAAAAACAATCCATTTGAAACCACGAATGTTTTGAAAGTCACCTTTAATGAATGTATTCTTTCCATTTATCTGTTTCAAGAAATTTTGAATTTCAGATTTGAACGTGGCAAGCTGTAGTCCGTTAATGGATGAATAATACTTACTCCCGGCCCCAACCATAATGGAATCTTGAATACACTTCTGAATTCACATTATTATGACATCTCGAGTGTTTCACGACACTTCTCGAACTTCAGACAGTTGTAAGCGTACAATAACATCTATGTACTACTGTTGAATTGAATTTTATTTAGAATAATAAGATGATTTTATTGTGTATAGGTAATATACTAGTAGGTAATATACTAACTTATTAAGATGATCATATGTTTCAATATTCTTTATATAATGGACAATTATACAATAGTAGGTACCACCGTAACATAGTCATTTAATGATTTTTCCTCAATTTGTTTTGTTTTTGGAATATACGAGTCAATGCCATAGGCGTCTAGGGACAAATTTTGATCGCTCTATGTTGTATAAAATAGATATATATGTATATAATTATTATATTTTATGTAAATATAGACGAAATCGTGGTTAACAGCTAGTCAAATATACAGACAAATTAAACAGTTTCATTCACATATTAAGTACGCAATAATTACATTAAATTGCCGCTGTTTAAATACCTAATTCGAAGTACGACTCAACCGTGAAATATATGTACAATATTACAGACGTATGTACATAATGCATGTATCGCGTATTTGTCGAACATTAGCATTGCCTCTGAAATTACAATCGGACATGCTAATGTGCATTAACCTATCGACCCTACAACATCTGCACCGAGCTATCTGGCAAATTAATAATACCTATTCACAAATTAGGCACAATATGAGACCTAATGCGTACATTACGTGGTTTGATATTTGAAATGAAGGCGAAAATAATTAAAAAATTATTTGCTACCTGGCAAAGGAAATAATATAAACTGCTATAATCATTACATCAGTATTAGACATTAAAAAAGTCCTTGGCCTTGACCTATATCTGTAACAGTTTTTGGTAACAGCACGCATTTAAAAATAATTAAGTTCCATGTAATGTAAAGAATAGAGGTATAAATCGAGATTTTCGTAGAAAAATGAATGATCATTTTTCTACGAAAATCTCGATTTATCATGTACATTATAAGTATAGAGTCCAGCTATATACTTATAATGTACATGATGTACATTATAAGTATATAGCTGGACTCTTTGTTATTTCCGTCATAGAATTAAATTACAGATGACTAATATTATAAATTACTTATATAGGTACCAAAACAAGGAATTTGTGAGCTTCGGGTACTCTGGTTAATAAAATTCATTAATAATGTTTCTAATAAAATACTGGCTTTTTATAAATTATTCCCTAGTGTGCGATACGTTTATTAAGATTGTCTTTTGGCGTTATAGCTACTTACATTTTTTTATTTATTAGATGAAAGTGTGTTTTGTTAATATCTGAAACAGAGAAAAAAAAATTATGTACTGCATGGAATTATGAACAATACTTACAAAATTAGAAAACAAACTATATCTCACGGCACTGCACATGATTGCAGATTAAAAATATTGTATATGATACTGTAGTATATAACCTATGTGTGTACCAAATTCAATACGAATACATTCAGTAGTTTATGTATTCAAGAAATTTATCGATCCACCATATTACATTCAGTAGTTTATGTATTAAAGAAATTTATCGATCCTGATATTCAAATAATTGCGTAATTATATATATATTTACTATTTATTAATATTTTACAGCTCTGGATGCAAGTCCTTTAGCCCAACATAAAGTATAAAAACTTAAAAACAATTACTTATTAGTAGTGTTGTCGTCTGTCAAAATTCTTTATTAGACTGTGTTGAGTATACAAAATATATATAATAAAATTATTAATTGAAAATACAATGCAGAAGTGAAGTATTAAACTATGCGTACGTTAGCAACATACAAATATAACATATATTTCTATATCAATTTCCAATGTAAGTAATGAACAATGTGTTAATGAATACAGAATAAGTGCGAATTTAGCTAAATATGGATAATTTAACTTGCTTCTCAGTGTAATGCTCCATTAATTTTAGGTTACACGCTTGATTAACATTTAAGTAATTGAGGCATTACACCACAGGGGCTGTTTAGCATAAAGACAAACTGATTTAGGTATTTAGTAACAATTTTTTACAGTAAACTAATAATAATAAACTTTTATACAGATATTTTACATAGGGTAGTCAGAGACATTATTAATTATTGTCATATAGTTGAATTCAATATATCAAGAAGCAAACTTCATATTTTCCATGTAATGTTATTTACATAACCTTTAAGGCTATGTAAATAACATTACACACACTACCACATACAACTTGATAATGATTATTCTTTATAATGTTCGTTATTTACAGTTATTGATTTATTGATTTATTCAAACTGTACATCAAATCTTTACAGAGCGTTTTGAGCTATTTAAATTACAGCAGATAAATAATATTAGGTACCAAATTTTTTTACTAATAGTGTTTGAAAGTTTTCTGCAAAATAATTGAGAATTTTATTCCAAAAGCAACTTTTAAGACGAGTGTTATTTAAATTGTTATCTGTACAAATTTAAAATTAGATTTATTTTTAATGTAATATTTGAATTTCGAATTTAAGGTTCTTACTTAGTATTATTTAAAATAAAGTAATGAAGCTACAGTAATGAATAGATAAGCCAATACTTTGAAACAATGTTCGATTAAATAGTGTTTTAAATTTACGATGGTACTAATAGGGTGTCTGGTACTAAATTCATTCAAACACAATATTTCCTCTAACTATGATTTGTTAATAAATACCAAGAACTTGAATAAATCGTATCGGTATCGTACTATAGTTAGATGTTAAAACTATATTGCGAATCAGTATAATCATGGGAGTCACGTTCAGCTTTCATTTGCGGTGTACTCGTGTACCGGTCTATTGGTTCGAGTCCAGGGTCGAGCAAGTGCTCTTGTTACCGGCTCACTTAGAATTTGCGGTTCGAATCACTCATTCAAATGAGCTCGGGTAGTTTATCCGTTCTGTATTACTATAGTGGCAGAAAATGGGAATTTATTTCCATTTCATTGTTTAGTACTAGCAATCGGGAGAACTAAGGTTTTATTTTTAATTGTGATAAAATATTTATAAGTATGTAATTAGTAAGTGAGAATTATATAAATAAATTCTATTTGTTCTTTTTAAATTTATTTATATCTCAGGCATGCGGAATAGGAATATATATAATTAACTTTTTAATTTCTGTACGAACGAAGGTGTGAGGGATCAGCGGGGAAAAGGCGACATCCATTTCTACGTATCCCTTGGATATAAATGAAGTAACCTATTGAACTATATATATATATATATATATATATATATATATATATATATATATATATATATATATATATATATATATATGTGTACCAATAAATTATTTAAAGTAAAATAAGATGATAATAATTCATAAATAAGAAATTATTACCACAAACACAATGTTTAGTATTTGTCCTGTTTATGGCAATACTTAAACCCAACAAAAGCAATGGCCGCTCGTTAAGGAAATTTCGTTTAGATTATAATCAAATGGAAACGTAAACAAACTTTTCGTCCCACGTGACAAGCATCCGAAAAACTTGGGACCATTCTAATTTCACGTCTTGACGAAGAGGCCTCCTCATTTTCCTGACGGTTGCGGATATTTTCAATTTTCCCCACGGTGGCTCCTTTTTATTAGTTGTTGTTTCGCCTTGAATACTAATCGGCCAAGAATTAACATTCACGTGACATTCCCTTTGCTTAGCCGAGGCGCGATGTGCCAAAAACGCGAATTCTCATTTAGGGCTTCAATACACAATACTTTTGTACAATCGAACAGCGATTTCATTGATTTTGCGGATTCACAAGAACAGCCATAGACATGGTTATATCATATACTATGTCAACATATAAGTTTCATAACATTCACATAATAGATCTACTATTATATTCGCCCTGTGTGTAGTTTTGTAGACATTTCTCAGACAAAATTCGCTGTCGTGGTTTCTGAAAACGACACGCGAGGCACTCTACACGTAGCAAATCGCTGAAGTATAATGAATAATTAAAATAGTCGCTGAGACAGGCGATTTTATTTATAAACGATAGAGCGTTGAGGGTTCATAAAATCGTCCAGCCTCGATGTGTAAAGCATTTAGTATCTAAACTGTTTGCGACATTTGTATATTTCAGTTGAAATATAATATTTGTTGTAACATTTTAATATACTGGGTTTAAATCTATATGCGTCTATCTGGATTTAAATGGTAGTAGGTAAAAATTAAATTATGGAATTGTGACCACTAAACAGTTACGGTCATTATGGACATGATACTAATTTACATTAAAGAATAGATGTATTAGGTATCAATAAAAATCTCATTAGAAATGTTTCTGTAATTAAATACCATATTAGATTTAGCAAATATATTATTTTTTCTTCGATAGACATTAAAAGAGTATGTAATATGTTGAAACAAATCGAAATTCAAACTGAATTTCCAATTGATGCAAATTCAAAAAGTCCTCCGTTCTGTCGGTGTGCCTGTTTCTAACTTCAAACACAATTTTACTGTTACACTTTTATATCATACTAGTATGCGAAGTTTCAGCATACTAATGCGAGCACATTACCACCTAATGCTCCGGAACATTGGACGTCGATGATACGTTAAATAGCACACCTTTAACCTCAGTACTTTATTCACGTTAAAGCTTACAATAAAATGAGAAGTTTTATGAAATAGATGAAGAGCATCGCTACGCAAAGTGTTACCGATTATAAATTCATCTTAAGACATCGCAATTAAGGGCACTACTCCATTTCCTTTCCTCTATAATATTTTCTTTTATTTCTTAAGGTATATACAATAAAACATAAACAAAGGAACGTCGAGATTATATAATTTGATGCTGTGAGCAGTTATTTCATTATATATTTTATATTAAAAAAAACTACTAGTGCCTGTGACATGGCATATACGTATCAAATCAAAGTACGATTAATACAAAATATATTTATTCACATAGGACTCTTTGCACATCATATTTTTTATCACTATCCCTACCTTCCAGTTCGGCTAGCAACTTCAGTTGAGAAAAATTGGAAAGTAACTCAACCGGAATTTTATTGGCTATGGAACTATTGACTATTGTAAAATTTATTTACTAACACCAGGGTAATTGCAGGTAACTTGCCGACTTTTTAAAGAGGAATTAGCTATTTTCTCGAAGACTTAATATAGTATCATTTAGTCGTGAAAATATAACAAACAGGTAGACAAACTTTCACATTTATATTATTAGTTTGAACAGTATGGACGGTATGAATTAATATGGATTAGTATATAAAATTGTAATAACGTAATACAGTGAGTTATTTAGTGAAACAGTTTAGCATTAATGAGTTAGATGCATTTCACTGTGCCTATGCATGGGTAGTAAATACAACGAGTTGGCTACAATAGTGGCGATGTAATTAAAGCTGAACTTAATCTGCTGTCACTGGTTCACGGGTGAAGCGTCGCATGGACCGAATTAATTAGATTTTTGATGAATTACCACATCTCATGTAAACTGGTCCACTTTTATTTACATTATAATGGGGACAAATAAATTAGAAGTTCATTATATTTTATTAATTTACACAGTTATTACATTTCATAGATTTTACTAGTGGACTATCTTTTTTACCCCTTTTTAACTTTTTTAGTTATTATTGTATAATATAGACTATATCCCATTGGAATACGGGATTACACTCTATAACTATAATCCCGTAAAGGTTACATCGTGTTTTTTGTGAAATGAAAAGTACATCATATATAATCCATAAATATTTTTATGAACTTAATATAACATTATGAATTTAAGATTAATCATTTCCGTTGAATGGTTATTAGGAAAGTTGAGTTAGGTTATTTATTCCAATGGGATATAGTCTATATTATACAATAATAACATTGCGCCAAGCTACTTGTGCAGCACTTGCAATGTTTTAACTTACTACTTGACCTCCCGATGGTCACAGGTTTGAACTTAGCAGGCGCCTACACCTACAGTTTTTTTAAATCAACGCGCTCATTAAATGCGATCTGTCATCAATATGCGATCGCTTACATTAAAAGTGAAACGACTAATTAAGAGATTAGTTAATTCACAAGTCCCTAGTAGGTAATGTGTCAAAAAAAGATATGAATAGAGTTCAAGAAGGATAAGAGAAGCGAATGGAGACTATATATTTGTTTACAAAAAGTATTTTAATGTGTCTAGATGTTGTTCACCATTGATTATCTAGCTTAGTTTGGAACTAGAATACATGTCTAACCTATATTAAAAAAACAATTTGAACGTAATAATTTATAGTAATCAAGAAATCGTGACA